TAAATAACCTAGTTAAGCCTTTAAATGTCACTTTAAGCTGTATAGAAGTGTCTTGAAAAATATTTAGTCAAATATTACTTACTGTCATCATGGCAAAGATAAAATAAATCAGTTATTAGAAATGAGTTATTAAAACTATTATGTTTAGAAATGTGTTGAAAAAATCTCTCTGTTAAACAGAATTGGAAAAAAAAAATAAACAATCGGTCTAATAATTCAGGGGGGCTAATAATTCTGACTTCAACTGTATATATATGAACAATATCACACTCGTAGTAGTGTGATATGGCTGTCTATAAGCACTGGTGGAAGGCGTGTGTTGCCTTAGTGTCCCACCAGTTTTGTTATACAGCCATATCGCACTGCTACTCGTGTTATATTGCATTTATACAACAGTTCGACGGCACAATCATCTGTATAAAAAAAGAGAATCAAACACGAGAGTTTAAAAAATCCTTTTGGATAAGGAACTACTTTCTTTCGCCATTCATTCACATCTGCAGAAACCGTTGCTCATTCACCAACGTCGCTTTAGAGCTAGTGTTTAAAGGATTCCCCTGCATAATGTCTAAAGGGATGACAAAACAGGTGATTTGGCTCACATTTTAAGGTTATAAGGCTGAACAGCATGAAATAAGAAATTTCCCAGTATTTCTCTGTTGCAATCGGGAGAGCACAATAATTAACCCCTGAAAATCCAAAGTAAATCAAACACTAGCAGATTACTATGGTATAAATAGAGCACTACAAAATACAAAAGAGAGAGATTGACTTAGAATGTCACTTACCTGTTTAATAATGAATTGATCAGCTGTACAGAAATTATAAATATTTAAAATAGGCACTATCCTTACAAATAAACTGCATAGTTGCAATCTAAACAACTACACTCTCGCCTAAAAACAACTTCAAAAGTACATTATATTGTACAACAACTGCAATATTTGTCAAACTGTAGTCCTCTGCTTGTCACTCGTGTAGGTGGAGTAATACACAAGAAGTGAAGAGGGTAAAGAGTGCTGATATTACTTTACTATCTCACGGCTATCAGCTAATCAGATTCGAGAACCAGACAGCACTGTTGTATATATCATTAAAATATTGTATTTGTATATTTGTTTATTTGCTTAAAATATAATTAAATTCTTGTGCATGTAATATTAATAATTTATGCATTTAATCATGCTGAAATGCATTTAGTAATTTACAATATAGTATTTGTGCAAGATTGTTTTTGTAACCTGTTGCTGTAACCTAACCTAGCACACTAAAACTGAAATCACATTGCATTTATTAAATGCAATGGCATAAAAACAACCCAATGACACTGAACACAAAGCAACTCTTGGCTCTCCAGAAATAATGAGGCTGTAATAATGTTCAGTGTGTGTGTGTGTGTGTGTAATGTAATTGAGTGTCTGCAATGCGCTCTCTGGCCTGCAGGTGGAGCTGCTGCAAGCGCTGCGGGCGAGCGTTCAGTCTCTGCGGGAGGAGAGAGAGTCTCTGGCGGAGCAGCAGCAGGTCTGCGCGGCTCTCGGCGGCTCCACGGAGGCGTTGGTTCAGGAAAGATGCAAAAGCAACGAGAAGGAGAAATTCCGCATGTTTGTGGGAGATTTGGAGAAGATCGTGAATCTGCTGCTGTCTCTGAGCGCGAGACTGGCGCGAGTGGAGAACAGCCTGAGCGCGCTGCAGGAGGAGGAGGAGCACGATGACGAGAAGGTGAGCTGCTGCACACGGCGTCAGATCATTAATAATAATCATACTAATGTTAAACATGTTGTTTTATATTCTTTGATTTACTAAATATGTATATTTTTATACTTGTATTTATTTTTCCCCTTTAATTATACTGTAATAAAATCACACTGTTCCCAGTGATGGAAGGGCATCCACTGGGAAAAAACATGTGCTGGATAAGTTGGCGGTTCATTCCGCTGTGTTAACCCCAGATTAATAATGGAACTTAGCCGAAAAGAAAATGAATAAATAATAAAATTGTTTTATTCAGAAAATTAATACAGATTCAATGAAAAGCATAATGAAGTCTGTTATTTTAGATTGTTTTATATATTGATATTATATATATAGTGTTTTAGATTGATATATATATATATAATTTGTTCAATTTAAATAAAATATAAGATTTTAATACAAACGAGTTTAATACAAGTTTGCATACAAGTTTTTCATTAATTAAATATTGCAGAATAATTTAAATAATTATCCATTTCTCTGTGAATATAGAAAATATTTTTGGTGCATTTAAATAAAACGTTTTTATTATTATCAAAATGTTATAGTTATTTTTTTCCATTTCTCTGTGAATATAGCCTATACATTTTGGCTCATTTAAACAGTTATATTCATTGAAATAAGAGTGCAGTCACCGAAAATCTCTAAGAAAGAATACATTTACATTCAAAATGTAAGAGTTTTTGCAATAAAAAAAAAGTAAACTTTTTTTTTGTAGTTCTCTGGATTTTTCCCTTTCTTAAAATTGTATTTAATATTTTTCCTAACATTCATTAGGGTGTACTAATTTTTGCACCATCATCTTAAATTAAAATTGTATTATTATAACAAATCATAAATTCATTCATTCATTCATTTTCTTATCGGCTTAGTCCCTTTATTAATCAGGGGTCACCACAGCAGAATGAACCCACAACCCATCTCTGGGAAACATCCATACACACTCATTCACACTTATACACTACAGACAATTTAGCCTACCTAATTCACCTGTCCCACATGTATGTGGACTGTGGGGGAAACCGGAGCACCAGTAGGAAACTCCCGTGAATGCGGGGAGAACATGCAAACTCCACACTGAAACACCACTGAACACAGCCGAGGCTCGAACCAGCGACTTTCTTGCTGTGAGGCGACAGCACTACCGACTGCGCCACCGCCTCGCCTAAATCATAACTTATTATTGAATCATTTAGTCAAAATGTGCCGATATAAAAGAACTTTTTAAACAACTAAAGAGAAGTGACAGAATGCATAAAAAAATAGTAATTTTTATTGTTTATATTATATGACTGTTTTTCTGTTTATCAATTTAATTATATTTGCAGTATATAAAAAGATTAGACGTAATTACTGAAATGAATAACATGCATGTATTTAATCAATCAGAAATATGATGTAAAAACATGTATTTTAAGTACACTGTAACATGATTAATTTGAGTGTAAGTACATATTAAAGTTTTTTATATATACTATACTGTCAATTTATGATTAGACAATGTTAAAAAATACATTAAAAGATACATTTATAGTAGAAAAGTTTTTTTTTTTTTTTTATGGCAGTTCATATTACAATTTCTTGCCGCAATTTACTTTAATTTTTTAATGGCATTTGGTTTTGACTGATTTTAGTTCATATGTATAAAGAGCGATTGTGAATGCATTTTATATTCACGTTTTAAAGTTACAGCTGCATTAAAAATACCAATGCAACTGCCTTACAAGCAACACGCATTTCAGGTCTGCAAAACAATGTGCTGCGAAATGTGCACAAACAGTCAGACTGATGTGATCAGATCAGGCACATTATAATTCATCCAACATTTCAGCAGAATGAGGAAATTGATTCTTACACTTGCAAACAAACAATGATCTGCTTTCTGACATGATCAGTCGGAGATCTAAAGCCCTGCAGAGCAACTTTTACACATCAGACTCAACAAACAAGCACAAAACAAGCATTGAATGACCATTTCAGAAGATCACAACATTATCTCTATTAAATAAAGGCTCTTCTGTTTACAGAGGCTGCATTTATTCAAGTTTATTTGCGCTTATCACAATCATTTTCATTTCAAAGCAGCTTTAAAAAAAGCTTGTCGTCATTATTTTAATACATTCAAAAATCAGATAAGTTAAGGAGTGTGTGTAGGGTGGAAACATAGTTAACCTGTGGTTATACAGTATATAGTGATGTCTATGTATATAATAGATTTTTAATTAAGCATATTTGCACTCATTTGATCAAAAATATGCAAATAATACATGCCTAATTAACCTAGTTAAGCCTTTAAATGTCTCTTTAGGCTATAGAAGTGTGTTGAAAAATATCTAGTCGAATATTATTTACTGTCATCATGGCAAAGATAAAAAAATCAGCTATTAGAGATGAGTTATTAAAACTTATGTTTAGTAATCTTTCGGTTGAACTAATAATTCAGAAGTGCTAATAATTCTGACTATAACTGTATATCTAATATATCAGTGTAATATATCAGTCTTGTTGCTTAAAAACATATTTCATATTATTATTAATGCTTCATATTTTTAACAACCCTTTAAAAAGTCACCTTCAACAATGAACCCAAAGCTGACACTCCTTAAACATTTAATTTCAATCAATAAAGGGCCGTTCCAGATAATTATACATTACATTCACTGCAGAATAATGAGAAATGCTAATTGAGGGACATCATGTTGCAAAATATAGCATGATTCATTTAGGAATGAAGACACAGATCAAGTTTATCTGTCATAGACACCATAGAGTGGAGGAGCTATGACGTCACCTTGTTGGCGAATCGGCTGCTAGCATAAAACTGTTAGCAGTATCTTCATAATATTGTTTTATTAATATAAATGATCAACAAATGAATCTGTCTCGACGGTCTTTACATATGAAGGCATTATCTACACACAATATGAATTCAGATTAGAAAAACACTACAAACTCTAAAAAACTATTTGTGAAAATACTTAAATCACAGACAAATCCAAATGCCCAACACAAGCGAGCTGCGCTCCAAACCAGTTCAGCTCAATGAAGTATAATGTCTCCGCCTGTAGTCCTATTTAGCGCCTTGATAGCAACCGTCTTTTTAAAGAAGCGTAACCAACTAAAAAAAATCAAGAGTGTGCTGTAACTGATGTGTTTTATGTCGTAGAACAAAACGTGAAAGTTTCTTGAGTTTGTGTTAGCCACAAACCTTATTTAAGCGATTTTACTGAAACCCCATTCAAAAAACCCATTTACTTTGGGACGAGGGAACCGGAACTGCTAAAATGCTAACTCGCTTCCGGGTTTTTGCATACAAATTGACGTCATAGTTCCTCCATTCTATTGTCCCTTTCACACAGTGATACCGGTAAATATCGGGCTGTTTCACATGCCCACGCAAAGCTTGAAGGTAAACAAACAACGGCTTATCATAAGCATCTTATCGATAATTATTTACACAATTGGCATTAAGATGAACATATAAACGTTATCTGACTAACGTCTAGCAGCTAAATGTGTCTGGAAAAATTTTCAAAGGCTTTTATTCTCGTAAATTTCGCGGACATGAATGCGTCTGACTGTTCTGATTGGCTAAAGCAGATGTCTCACGTCAATCTTCATTTTGCGTTTACACAGCCAAAGAGCATAAATTCACCAAGAGGCGACACTCTAGTGCAATTTGGGAAACAGCCACTAGAGGGCGTTGGAATGAAAACTCTAATAGAACAACAGCATATTATAAGTCTGTAAAACAAACTATTAAAAGTGCTGATGATTGTCATATTAAGTGTTGTATTATCGTCTTTCAGGTGGTATCTCAGCTTTTTAAATAAATAAATAAATAACAAAGCAGTTGCTCGCCATCACAACGTAATAAGATCCAATGGACAGCCAATCACTTTCACTCCAAAATGGCGGAATCTGGAGCTGCTGCTGGGCGCTGCTGTTGCATTGAATGTTCTATTGAGTGTCGCCTCTTGGTCATTCAAAGCTCTTTGACACAGCACAACATTCTGGCAAATTACAGATAATGTTACAACTTCTCATTTTCAAAAAGGGCCTGTTCACACGTAAACACCTCCCCGGAAAATTGCTGGTAATTTTTCGGAAAGGTCTGTATGTGTGAAAAGGGCTAAAGTCAGTCAAGTTGATCTGTCTGTCAATTGACAAAAGAAAAAGACTTCATTAGTATCAAGATTTAGTGAGTTTGAGATCTCATTACAACAGCGCTGTTTCAAAAGCAGTCTGAATATTAATATTGCATTATATATAGTACATATAGTACTTGGATTACATTATAATATTGCATATTCATGTCAAAGACATACATAATGTTCTGGTGACATTCACAATTTGGATTTCATACTAAATAAACCTTCTATTATTTTTCAAACCAAAAACTTTTAATGAAATGTTTAAATATTTTGAATAATACATTAAATTATCTCTAAAAAAAAAAGCACATTATAGATATTTGTATGTGTATTTAAAGACAAAAAAATGTTGCCTGTCTCTGCCTCCCCAATCATGTGTTCAGCTTCAATTATGAATATTTAAATCTAATTTTCATCTTTTTGCATGTTTACTCTACTAATTTATTTAAACATTTCCATCAAACCTGTATTATTTGTAATAAAAACACCCTTGGTTGCACAGTTGGCTGTTAAATTAACACAAATTACTGCAATTCAGGGTTAAGGATGTGATCTTGCAGTAAAAACTTGAAACATCAAATGCTCTCTAGTATCTGACAAGCCCCGCCCCCTTCAAGATGCCTCTCATCCACTCTCACTGGCAGAGCTGTGAGAAAACAAAACACTATTGGCTGTTTTTTTTAAACAGGAGGGGCAACTCTAAGCTCCGCCCTCTCTTTATGTTTCAGCTGAGATTACGTCAAAAACATCTACAGATGTCCTAATGCTGTGTTCACACTAGACACAGAACGCGTGAATAAATCGTGATATTTGCTCATAAATAGACGCTTGAACATTCTGAGTTTACTCGCTTCATTCGCACGTCAAATCCGCTTCACAATAGATGCAGATTGGCATCATGGGAAGGGCTTCTGTGTGCCAGGTGACCCTAGCTTTGTTGCTAAATGGTTAACATGGATTTTATTGAGAGAACAGCTGTGCTTTATGTGCTTTAGGAAGGCTGAAAAACAGCGTAGATTCAATCTGCGTCGTGTTGGGGTCCACTGGATCCTTTCAGAGGTGCACCCAGCTCTGAGTTCCATCAATACCTCCAGAAACGATATACCTGGATGATGTACAGCTTTCAGCGGGACTTCAGACTGAGCTGAGCCCAGTTTGATGAGTGTTTGTCAGGAGAATTTTCCCTCGGAACACTAACAACAGGCACTACGTCATATTCACGCCACTAAAAGAAAAAGCTCATGATTAGTTAATGCAATGTCCGCTGAAGCTCAGATTTTCCAACTCAAGCATTTCGCGCACTAAAGCTTCCTTTTAACTGCACACGACAAGCGACAGACTGGAAGTCATTCATTTCCAATGGAGAGTAGTCCGGGAGCTGCATTTAGTTTCGATCATCTCTATATGCGGAAAATTCGGATCCGAATTGAGCTGCGGATCTGTTGAAATATTTAAACTCCTGCGACTAGACCGTATGCGACCGAATGTGACGTATTCCAGTGTTGTAATAGCAGGTCCGTGCGCACGAGATGAGAAATATGAGTTTACTTGGTTATTTTTTGAACTATAAAAAGTCTATTTTAAAAAAATATATATATTTCCGTTCATAAATGTAAGTAAGAAAGTAATAAAATATATATTTTTTAATGTTGCCTCCACATTCCCTCCAACACTTTAGCGGTCTATGAGTTTCTAGTATTCATTCATTCATTAAACCAAAATACTGTGTGACTGCCACAAGGGGGCGTATTCCGACAGTCGTGTCCAAATGTCGTGAGCAGTGGAAAGGCGGCTTAAGTGCGTCACATCATATCACATTATCTAATTCGCGCCACATCATTCACGCCACAGCATGTCTATTTGTGCCTTTGCATTGACTTAACATGTAAATCAATCACGCTTGCAATCCATCCATGGTGTGAGCGCAGCATTAGAGGTCATGCGTTACTATATTTTTTTTGTTTTCTCGTTATCACAACTTAATTTTCTCATGATCTCGACATGAAACAAAATTGAATTTTAACTATTTCTTCTGTATATTCTAAAAGGATGTCCTAGACACGAATACAGTAGCTTAATATCGCATTTTTGGCAGGGGTCCACTTTTTAAAGTAATTGTAAATAACTTGCCAAATGGACACATTAAAGCAAAAATGAGTTATGTCAAGATAATCAAAATTAAACATCAAATTTTAAGAAATGCTCATATTAATGTATATTTGTTAAGATCCACTAGTAACGCGCTCATGGGTTTCCGCAGGAGTCTCTGCAGCTGAAGCAGAAGCAGTTGCGCAGTCAGCAGGAAGACGCTCGCGAGCTGAAGGAAAACCTGGACCGGCGCGAGCGAGTGGTCCTGGATATTCTCGCGGGCTACCTGAGCGTCCCGCAGCTGCATGACTACCAGCGCTTCATCCGCATGAAGCCAGCGCTCCTGATCCGACAGCGCCACCTAGACGAGCTCATCCGCCAGGGGGAGGAGCAAACGCAGAGACTAGAGGAGTCCCTCCCCCTTCAGCACCACCCAAAGAACACTGACTCCGCCCCCAGACCGACACACACTCTTAACTCCACCCACCTGCCACGCCCTACCACTGTGACCTCACTCTGACTCCGCCCACTACGGATCAATCACAATGACTATAAGTGCCTTATAAATAATGAAGGAAGTAGCCGTTGGGTTTTCTGCGCATCTACACTGCAAATGCACACTATAGCGCAACACTGAAGCACAATGCTAATTCGATGGCATCATTTTCGAGCCCTGAGCACTTTGGAACAGATGAACCACTACGATAAGAAACACACACACACACACACACACAAAAACACTTTTTTTCTGTCTTGTTGAAATTTCTGTCGATTAAAATGCGACAGGTGATTATTTATGATGAGTTTAGAAAGAGTTTTGTATTGTGTACGTTGCTGTACATACTCGATCCCCGTGTTGATTTTAAAATATAGATGGTTAAAAACGAAACGCTGAATTAGTGTTGACACGATACTGGAATTCGATACTAATCGCTACTGAAATTTTAGTAACGTCATTTCCCGCTAACATTTGAGCTTGCTCTTAAACAGCGCTGATTTGCAATTGTGTTTAAATGCTCAACAGAAATGACTGTGATTGGCAGTGAAGGTCATCAGTTCACCGAACTCACCACTTTTCACTGAGTGTAACCACAAATACAGGGATACTAGAGCGTTTTAAAGCTCAGCCCATAATACATGTCTGTGGGTCTCACTATTCGATTGATTGATTCGATTGATCAATCTGCTTATAGATTGATCCTATTAGCAGGTTTGGAATATCTGTCCCAGGAGAGAACCCTGAGTTCAGAGATAACTGAGGACTCCCGCCTGGTCAGTAAGCATATAAAGGAGTCCGAGTTCAGGTAGGTCTCGAGAGCTCCCCCTGGTAAAGGAGGAAAAGGAGGAGATGGGGTGAAAGGGGGGATTCTTCCAAAAAGAATATAAGGCAGTGGGGTGAAATCAGTCTATTTATTGAAAGCGTGAATCAATCGGATTGGATTATTTCTGATTACAGACGAAAGACCAGCTGGGATCAATCATATCACATGCTCCTCTGGAAATGAGTTTGTGAAACTTCACTTGAATTTATGAGGAGTTTTACATGTAGTTATAGTAGTCATGACAATCAGAGATACTATAAAAGCAAAAACACAGACTGTTCCAATACGGTGTGTTTTGGGAACCAAATAAGAACATTCTGCAAACATTCTCTGGTGTTTTTTCTTGGTTTTCCAAAAACTATTCTTTATAGAAAGTTGCAGGGATTTATTTTATTTTTTAGTATCAACATTAAAATGGACATTGCAATGAAATCTCACTATTCAAAATTAAAGCACAGTTTTCGCTTATAATATCTTTTTACTCATTGTCAGAAATTAAAATAGGGACGCATGACAGCTGAGCGAGACTGAAAAATAAACCGTGGAAATCTGACCAATGTGAGGAGAGTTTACTCGCACATTTTAACTATTTTGGTTCGTTTAGAAACGTTGCCGTGTAAAAGCGAACCGCTCCATGAAAAAAAAGAGCTACAATGTAACAATTTTAATCCCCGTTTGAGAACAAAACAATCGATCTACAGGTGTGAAAGCACCCTCAGGTATAACTGAAAAGTACTAATGACGATGCTTACTAACTTTGCCTTCTGGAGAACATAAACAACGAACATTGATCACACACTTACCAAATCAACACCAGCTGGAAGAGTGTCTTTTTCTAAAAGAAGACTAGCCTTTTTCAGGTTTGAAAAGCTCTCGGGTAAAGAATATTCCTTACAAACATATTGTTGTCGCATGTTAGCAGACCACTTTAATCCACACATGTGGGTCCACATGCAAGCTGTGTTTTCAGCACAGGGAAATGGAAACAAAACCTTTGCTGCGTCACATTCATAAACACAACACTGACAACCCAAGTCTCCGAACAATTCTTCTTCTAGTTGTTTGAATTACAGTTGGCAACACAACGTGGCGTCTCTCTGAACACTGTAACAGGTAAAAAGAGTCTTCAAAGCTAGATCATGCATATTAATGAAGTTCGATCACAATAGAGTGCGCTGATTGGTTTGAAGTTTTTCTCATGAATTAATGAACATATGTTCTAAAAGCTCAATGATGTCAGCCAGTACAGACATCCAGTCTCCTCGCTGGAATTTACACAAGGATCTCATGGCCAAAAATTTATTTTTAAACAGGAAGAATGAATTTGCTCTAAACTTTTTTTCAATTTTCACTTGTCAGCTAAATATGTGTCCTAATAGTGTTTTTTTTTTTTGCTTATGTGGGAGATATATATGACAGTCAACATCTTAAAAAATGGATTTTGGTGTTTCTTTACCTATTCGAGCCGCGAAGGCCAGTCCATTCATCAGCAGATCATTCGTATGTCAGCTTATGAACAGACCAGCTGATCTTTACAGCTTTAAAATGCTCCATTGTCCCTGTATCTGGGGTTACACACAGTAAACAGCAGTGTGTTCGGTGAACTGATGACCTTCATGGCCAATCACAGTCCTTTCTGTTGAGCATGTGAACACAATGGCAAATCAGCGCTGTTTAAGAGCGAACCCAAATGTTAGCAGGAAATGGACGCTTTTAAAGCTTCAGTACCGATTGGTATCCAGTATCGTGACACTACGCTGAGTAGATGTTTGTATTTTTGTAAGCGGATTACTAGCGAGGGGTGGCTTTCGGGCTTTAACAGGTGCTATTATATGGAAATGGCGGTAATTGATGTTTCACCAGCACTTGAACACAATATCAGTACTTGGTTTCAGTAGCGAGTAGGACGTGAAAATGCGTTAAAACATAATCCATTGAATATAATTCACGAGCGGCTGCATGCAGGGTTTTATTACTACTTTTTTTTTTTTTGGTTTGGAGATCGTAACGCTCATGCCCAAACTATTTCCCATTATTTTTTTTTATTTGTTGCCATTTTAGTTTTTAGCTTGTATTATTATTATTATTAAAATTATTATTATTATTATTATTGGAGAGCATCTTTCATTTAGTGAAAAAAATAATCCCTGTTCAGCTGTATGAAAAGACACAATCGCTGTTGATATTGGACTGTTTATGTATAAGAGACAGAACTGTTTTTGTTTTTCTTGATGGAGGTGAATGGAGGAGAAGGTTCAGCCATGCTTTACACTGTTTAAAAGTAAAAAGAGCACAATTGGAAGGCAAAATAAATCTATTTTTTAAGTACAACTTCCCTGGTGTGGTGTGACGTCTTCTGTGTTCATGGGTCAAAGATATGAAAGATTTTAAAGCATCGAAACAATAAAAGTGTAACGGTGTTTCAGTATATTAGCGCTGATAAACAAATAACAGTGTCATTGCATACAAAATAAAAATGCGTGCATTACATTATGTTTACATTTAATATATTTGCACTCTAATTTAATTTAGAGTGTATTAATCACTGAGTGCTTGTTTTCATTTGGCATATTTCAGATTCACCCCTTAAATATGTTATACATCGTAAATATTCCCCTCAAATTGCAGCATACAAGCAGCTTCAGGGATGTTCTGAATGCATTGCATCTGTGCAAAACCTGTTGATCAACTTTATAAACTCGTCAAAGACACACTTAAAGTGGTTCATTTTATTCTTTCAAGAGTTTACACTTGGATATGGTTGATGCTATTAGCAGGTTTGGCATATCTGTCCCGAGAGAGAACCCTGAGTTCAGAGATAATTGAGCCCATGGCTCCCGCCTGGTCAGTAAGCATATAAAGGAGTCAGAGTTCAGGTAGGTCTCCAGAGCTCCCCCTGGTAAAGGAGGAAAAGGAGGAGATGGGGTGAAAGGGGGGATTCTTCCAAAAAGAATATAAGGCAGTGGGGTGAAATCAGTCTATTTATTGAAAGCGTGAATCAATCTGATTGGATTATTGCTGATCACAGATGAAAGACCAGCTGGGATCAATCATATCACATGCTCCTCTGGAAATGAGTTTGTGAAACTTCACTTGAATTTATGAGGAGTTTTACATGTAGTTATAGTAGTCATGACAATCAGAGATACTATAAAAGCAAAAACACAGACTGTTCCAATATGA